TAAAGAAAGAATGAATAATGAATGTGGAATGAAGTTAAGGAAATTGTTTTTTGGAAAATCATTTTAGCAATTTAAAAAATATTATGGATAACTAGTAAAAGTCTTGTCAAACTAAAAGTGCTTATAAGCTAAAAAGTCATAAATTGCGGGTGGCCAACTTATCACTTATGACTGATTTTAAATTATAAATACTTGGTTTATAAGTTCTTTGGGTATTTACCAAACCCATAAATAAGCTAAAAGTTGCTTATAAACTTAGCCAAATGCCCTCTTAGTCTTTGAATNTCCCCCCCCCCCCCCCCAAAAAAAACTGAATGAATAAACACGGGAGCGACTAGTATACAATCTACTTATTACTTAATCTTCACAAATCACAAACAGAAATGCCTCAAACAAGCAACGACCCTCCACACGATAGGGCCAATTTTCCTAAGCAAACATTGAAAAAATGACAGAATTCGAGGATAACCGGGTCAATAGGAGGTTTGGAATTCAAAGTAAAAGGGTATGTATATACGAAAGAAAACCCAATCAAATAAGAAGTGATTCTTTGGTTTGCATTGGGGATTATAATGGGAAAATCATGACTCCAGTGGCAATCCCTACGAACCACGAAAATCAAACCTTTAGTGATCTGAGTTGGGTAAATATAAGCACGATCTAATGAAGACATATAAGAAACTTGGTTTCTGATGGACTCTCTATCATTATAAAAAGATATTTCAGCAGGAACAATTTCGTCAACCAAAGGTTCACGAAGAGGTTCATTGGGCTCTTTATTTCTAGATAAAGACCTTTGAGAAAGGGAACCTCTAGTTCTAGAAGGTGGAGTTGAACTCGTAGAAGGAAGAGAAGGACCCCGAGAAGATGAAGAACCTAAATTACGAAGTCTTCCTCCTCTCCTACTCCTAATAGGAGCAAGAGGAAGGTTATCAACGATAGGAACTCAACGAGGGTTAGGGTTTGAAGAAGACATAACAGTACGAGGAAGAAGAAGACTAAAGTTGAATATTCTGAACTTTTTGTGAAAAAGACAAAGATGAAAGCTTATATTTATACTCAGAGGCAACTGTCAAAAGAAAAGACGCAATGATGGAAACGTCACGATGAAAGTTGTCATTTCATAATTAATGAAGCCGTTAAAAAGCCCTAAAAAGCGCTGAAAAGTTGCAGAACCAATCGTGAGGTGCCACATGTCGTGAACATTAAATGGAAGTGACATATGAAGCGTCAGTTCCAGAGAAGAAATAATGGCGGCAAAAATTTCCGCTTTAATGAGATCCACTTCCCAAATATTCTATTGAAGAATAAATGGCAAGTGGGGGGACTATCTGTATTGGAAAAAATTGAGTTCGTGTATGGAATTAAATATGAGGTGATATATCATGACACGTAGATTAGTAAAAGAGTGACTGATTGGCAAAGAAAAAAGGCACGAGCTTCAACAGGAGAGGAAGGATAAAAGCTCGTACCTATTGATAATTCAGCAGTTATATCAGAAGAATGAACTTTTGTAGTAAAAGTTGTACAAATACGTATTATTGGTAATTAATAGGCATTAATTACGAAAAGCATTATGGAGTTTGTAGAGAATCAGTTATGATTAACAATTATAACGTTACATTAATGCCCTTAATTCTCATAAAGACTCTATTACTTCGAGGTAGCTATAAAAGGGAGAAGATTGAATATTTGTAGAGACACGAAAATACTATTGCAATATACAGATTTATTTTGCTTTCTTCTGCTTATCAAAGTCAATTCCTTTTATTCATTATATATTTGATTATCAGTAACCCGAATTCTTTTAAAACAAAGCTTTGACCGAAATCCCAAATTTTGGTTAAACACAGAAACCGAGTATATTTTTCAAAAGTTGACCTGTTAAACACGCCAACACGTTAAATACTGAGTTGATTCTTAAATTAAAAAAATGAAATATAAAAATAGAGAGAGAATTTTAAAAAATAAGGGACTAATTAATTAAATGGGGATTGTCCTCCAAAGTTGAGTTAAAAAGTTGTTTAGTGATCTTTCGTAGTCACCTTTTAAACTAATCCAACGGCGATCTAAATTATACACGAGATATTGTCATATCATTTCCAGTTTCATTAAGAAAATCATGTTGGGATTATGTTGCTGACGTTCTCTTTTATATTTTATGTTACTATAATAAGTGCGTTAATTAAGCTTCGACGTGAATGGCCTATCTGTTTAGTTTGACATATTCAAACAAGAGAAAAGAAGATTAAAAAAAAAGAGTGTATGGTCTCTCGAGTTATACCTCAGCTTAAGAAAGAAAAAAAGAAAGGGGAATTTTGTTAATTCCTGGGAGAGTTCCCAAGAGAATATATCTTGGAAAATTGAGTGAGAACCAGACCTGGTTGTGTGCAATATAATGACCACTCTGCCCTTTCTCAAATCATATAAATTTTCATTTGGATTGAATCATGAAGGGTAATGCAAATATTCTTTCTTTCCTATAAACGTACGTAGAGCAAACCTACTACCCATTAGAAAGAGGAGAGTCCGAAGTAGTAAATTTTTTCCAATGATTGTAAGGATAGAGCCAAGAATATAAATGACGAATTTGAGTTAATGCAATTATATAGCACGTACATAACAAGGAAGGGCGAGGCACCAGCTTAATACAAGATCATCATATCATTTACGTTCTTTTTAGTTTTTACAGCTCGCTTTGATGATTAAACTATGTCCTTTGAACGGGCGCAAGCCCCTAATTATATTCTCTTCATTTTTTCTTTGTCAGCCCCTAGTTATCTTTGAAAAAGCAGTAATCATGTTAATTTACGAGCAATGTATTAATCATGCCTAAACACTTTTGCTCTATCAATATATTTTAATATGAAATAACCGATTAATTATTATTTTTATTAAATTATTAATTATTGTTTATTATAGAAATATTTACAAATAATCTTATCAGCTTGCGTACGGAGACGGAATTACCCTTTGGATAGGAGGGTCACCAATCCCCGATAACTTCGAAAAAAATAAAGGTATATAGGTGTTTATATCTTAAGTAATACGTATATATTTTGATTGGCATCCTAAGATTCAAATCTTAGGTAGCTGCATTGGTCAATTAGGGGGCACGACTTGACTTTTAGAGTGTTGCCTGAGTTCGGTTCCGACTCTAGCATTTGCTCAAATTTTTATTTGACATTGGTGCTTCCACCACTTTCAAATTCTGGATCCGCCCCTACCAGTGTATATTAGTATAACTTTTATATACTTAAACCTTTTATTTTACTACCCGTGCAGTGGATTAAAAGAGCTAGACTGACACGTTATTTCAAGAAAATATTAGTAACCAATGGATTTTTTAGCCTTTGATATGGATTAAGCAATAAGTTCCATAATAATCACACTTAGAAATAGCACAAGAACGCGCGGCAGAAATATTTTCTAGGAAAATGGCCTAGTACTAAATCTAGTGGTGATGATGGATTTGTTATGGGGGTGGGAGAAAAGTAAAGGAGCATGCCCTGGATTTAAGATAAGTTCCCAACGTTTAATATTGTATTCAAAGTTAAAACCAAGATTCTAATGATGTTGCATACTGTATGGGTTTTCGTAGAAGTATAAGAAAGGTAAAAAAAGGGCAGGGAAATTTCATCTTTTTTTTTTTTGTTGTTGTTGTTCTTTTGGCAGGCTTTGAAGATGGATTAGGAGGCAAAAGAATGTGAATGAATGGGATATTGTGTTGGGTGAAATAATAATAATGAAATGGTTTTGGTGGTGGGTTTGATAATACATATATATATATATATATATATATATATATATATATATATATATATATATATCATGGAATCCATGAAATCATCACGATGATGCACGCCGGCAGCTTTTTTAATGTCTCTTTCCTTTTCTCTTTTCCCCTCAAAACCCCATTTGTCACGCCTGCTCCCACTCACTTATACTCCCTCCTCTTCTCTTCTATTCTCTTTTCAATGTGTGTATATCAACAATATGAAAAGCTAATCTACTAAGCTGTTTCTTGGGCCTCGACTTTATATAATCTTTTCTACCTTTTTTGTATTTCTTTATTATACCACTATCTATATCTTTTGTCAGACTATTTTCTATATCTAAATACACACCAACCAGTCCCAATATGGCTCCATGTTTTAACGGGAAAAAATTACAACTATTTTCAGTCATTTGAAAGAATGACTAGGAAACAATAGAAACCAAATCCACCTCACATCTCCATTTCATTCTTATTCCATTCTTATCATAATAATATCTCGACTGCCTCAATAAAAAGAAAAAGTAAAGTGAAATTTTTACTTGGATATATATTCTTCTCTCTTTTTATTCTTTGCCCACTCTTCTCCCCTTTCTTTTTCTTTAATTATATAGAGTATGTATATCCTCTAGCTAAAACCACCTACTCCACTTTGAATCTTTTGCTTTGAACCATTCAACAGAATATCACTTGAAAAAAAGGTACACTATTCTTGAACATTTTATTCTTTAACTTTGATGTGGGTCGGCCGTTGGTTAAATGGATACTTTGTTTAGATTAGTTAGCCTTCAACAACAACAACAACAACAATCTGATCAGTCCTTTAACTCCAGTAGAACTTCAAGCAGTTCTAGATCTTCTAATAAACAAAATACCTACAATTACCCTCCTCATCATAATCAAGAAGACGAAGAATGCTTCAACTTTTTCATGGATGAAGATGACTTCTCTTCTAATTCCTCTTCTAAACACAACAACTACCCTCCTCCTTATCATTACCAACAACAACAACAACAATTTTCCAACACTCCTACACCGACAACCACTAGCAGTACTCCAACACAATCTCATCAGTACTATGATCAGTTCTCTCCAGCACGTGACTTAAACCTCGAATTTGGTTCTTCATTTTCGGGCAAGTGGGCAACGGATATCCTTCTAGAAACTTCCCGTGCCATTGCTGATAAGAATAGCACACGTGTCCAGCAGCTGATGTGGATGTTGAATGAGCTGAGTTCTCCCTATGGTGACACGGAACAAAAATTGGCTTCTTATTTTTTGCAGGCTTTGTTTAATCGCATGACGGATTCTGGCGAACGTTGTTATAGGACGTTGGTGTCTGCTTCTGATAAAACATGTTCTTTCGAGTCAACGAGGAAATTGGTTTTGAAATTCCAGGAAGTTAGCCCGTGGACAACTTTTGGTCACGTTGCGTCCAATGGTGCAATTATGGAAGCGTTCGAAGGTGAAAGTAAGTTGCATATAGTTGATATTAGCAACACTTATTGTACTCAATGGCCAACTTTGCTTGAAGCTCTTGCTACTCGTACTGATGAAACTCCTCATCTCCGGCTCACCACCGTGGTCGTTGGTGGCGCCACCGGAGGAACGGCGGCTGTGCAAAAGGTTATGAAAGAGATCGGTAGTAGAATGGAAAAATTTGCTAGGCTTATGGGTGTGCCATTTAAGTTTAATGTCATACATCATATGGGAAATTTATCTGAATTGGATATTGGTGCCTTAGATATTAAAGAAGATGAAGCGCTAGCAATTAATTGTATTGGCGCGTTACATTCCGTTTCGCCAACTGGAAACCGGAGGGATTATTTGATATCATTGTTTAGGAGATTACAGCCTAGGATTGTAACTATTGTGGAAGAAGAAGCTGATCTTGATGTGGGAGTTGATGGTTTTGATTTCGTTAAGGGTTTTCAAGAATGTTTGAGATGGATTAGGGTTTATTTTGAATCATTAGACGAGAGCTTCCCTAAGACAAGTAACGAACGTTTGATGCTAGAGAGACAAGCAGGACGGTCCATTGTTGATTTACTGGCTTGCCCTCCATCAGAGTCAATGGAGAGGCGGGAAACAGGGGCAAAATGGTCACATCGTTTGCATGCAGGAGGTTTTAGTCCGATTTTATATAGTGATGAAGTTTGTGATGATGTGAGGGCTCTGTTGAGGAGGTATAAAGAGGGGTGGACAATGACACAGTGCGGAGGAGATTCCGCCGGAATATTCTTGTCGTGGAAGGAACAGTCGGTGGTGTGGGCCAGTGCATGGAAGCCTTAGATCAACAATGGGTGGTGTTGGGTGGTGAGTCGCCATCTTAGATAGCTCCCTATTGCTCTCTCACTTTTGTTAGTGGATTTGTTTGGAGTGGATGGAATCAAGAAAGGTACCTTTGGCTTTTTTTTTTTTTTATTTTAAATGATGAATAGAATTTTTGAACTTTAATTAGTAGTAACATACTAATTCTCTCGGATGGTGATTAACCTTTTGTTAACATTGGTGATTGATTTCGGCATTCAAGCAAAGAGAATTTGGTTTTCCAATTAAGTTATATGTACTATTAGTGTGTAATCTTATTTTTAGTCTTTCATGTTAACTAAGTTAGCTGTAATAACATACAGTAATTATTTATAACAGATGTGATCTGGTAATCCAGAAACTAAAGAAGATACCATATCATAACATGTTAAATTATACTAATAATCCATTAGTCATATATATATATATATATATATATATATATATATATATATATATATATATATATATATATATATATATGACTGCCAAAATGTCAATAGAGTTAAGAATAACGCAACAATACTCCATTATGTTGCATTCTGTTGTCTTTATGGTTAAGTAGGATAACAACAGGACAAGTAGCAAATGCATCAAGTACACATGATCTTCATGAAACTCAGTATCTTCTTAAAGTAGTTTAATTTGTCTAAGTGTTTGGTCTCAATTTGTGTATTGATGGAGTAGGTATTAGGTGCCAAAGGATGATATAAGAATAGATTTGTGATCTTTAAAGTAAGAAACAATTGAGATAAAAACAAGAATTGATCATAAGATTGTAACAAGGGGTCGTTATCTTGGGTTGGGACCAAAGAATCTTAGGACGGCTATTGAGTTTAGGGTTATGCTTGGGAATCTAACAAAAGGTGTTTAGTCTTTAGTGGTATATAATGGTCTAATATATAAGTGGCCTGCACGCTATATAGATATGGTCTATTTCATATTCTATTCCTATTCATCTTTCCTTTTTTCTCCATACTTTTTTGGTGAGAATGAAGTTGCTTTAAGCCAGTTGATGGCCCCTCTCCCACACCAATAACCATAAATTAAACTTGGCCTCTGAAGTGGATGACTACTTTTTGGCCCACTAAAAGAAAGCAAGAGAACAACAAACATTCAGTAATAGTAGTGGGAAGTGGGAACTTCTTTTTAGGGTGTTTTATTTTTACATCTCTCTTACTCTTTTGATGAGACCTGCCCCCTCCACGTTATCATTCTCACTACCTTTTCATCTTTGATTTTTCCTTTTTATTTTTCACTCCAAAGTATTACGATAACTCCATATCCGAAGTTCGAATCTGAAATTTCTTCTTAAAGATGAAGAAGTACGTATTACTTCATTACAACCTTTGTCTTCTTCATATACGTGGGCCTTTTCTTTATCTATGATTACCAAAAGCATGGCTTCAATTAATTATCTTGTCTACGTTTTCTTTATTTGCTTCTCTTTATAAAGGAGCCCAGGCTTTAAGTAATTTGGTGATCGAAAATTGACCAAGACTTTGTTGTCATGACCAAAATACTGCAAGTTGGCGACCACCCAAATAAATGTTTGATCACTGTCACCCATATATTGAAAAAAAGAAATAAATTTTGTTGGATTATTTGCGTCTACTAAGCGTCTGTTGGCGGCAAATCTTTATATTATTCTCTTGCTTATTAAATGATATCATTATGTAACAAGGTTATCGGAGTGTGTTATTTATTACTCTAAAATGAATATTTAATCAAATAACTAATTCACCAGAGAGAGCGACTTCGCAACTACTAATGCAAATAATCCACCCCCGAAGAACAAAATTCAAGGAATATTGTCTTTAATTTTACGATGTTGCTTTTCGTTGAGGGCACCATTTTCTTGGAGACAATTGACAAATAGAATGGCTTGAGAAAATCTTCCAAGGGATATGTTTCTCTATCTCTGTCTTTTGGTTAAACTATTTTCTCGAAACTGGTGTTGCACGTGTAAGCCATGCGATATATTACATAATTTATGTAAAATAATATTGATCTTTTTAAATAAAGTTATGAGTAAGTAATTTTACATGAAAAAATTAAGATACAAGTTTTTGTGAATGACTAAGGTAGGTCATTAGTCATTTGTCAAAGTAAATATGATCAGATAACAACCTAGAAAGATAAACAATAAAAACTTAATTCGATACATTTGATATTTTTATTTATTTCACTTTTATTTTGTACAAGTATGTAATAAAGCTTATATTGCAGATAAAACAACATTGACCCAAAAAAAAGTATAGCTCTTTTTTTTTTAAACTTTATGTTAAAATCTATCATCCATTTTAGGAGAAAAGTCGCAAAGATATGACATGCATATCAATATCAATTCTTACCATTAAAAGATATGAAGTTGTTTAAGCAAATAATAAGATCATTCCCTCTGTAGCAATAAAGCTACAAAGGTAACTATTATAAAAATGCGCACTAACTTTGGAATGAAAAAAGAGTAACTAATTTTAAAATTTCATGAGATTCGTAAGATATGACTTCTAATACAATAGTATTATCACATGTAAAATTTTTATAATGCAAAAAGATATACATTACCAATTTCAAAAATATATTGTTTGTTGAATTATTTGATTGATTAGCATAGTTATATGTAATGTTAGGTCATATATATGAAATTAAAATACAAAAAAAAACTAAGTTGTTGATGAAGACATACTATAACTCTATTCCGCGTTAAAAATACACCTCTCAAAATAAAAATATGCATATATATATATATATATATTATATATATATATATATATATATATACTATATTAAAAGCACAAAGGCCCTTAGCGAAATGTCGTTTGTCTTTTTTACCCTTAAAAAAAAATTTCACATTGGACAAAATAGTAATTCAAATTATTTTTCTAATATTTAGGACTTAATTTCCGATTTAAATTATGAATGAAGTCCTAATATTTAGGAGTTCAAACTCAACTAAGAATTTACCTTATTTAAATTATTTATATAACTGTAATCATTCCATATTAAATTCTTAATATGTAGGATTTTAACATCAACTAAAATTCTATTAATTAAACGCTTTAATAAACTCACCCAATACATGCACGTTCAATTGGTAAGAAATATAGGGGAACATGGAAACTATCTGGACTAATTGATATTTTGTGTTACTTTAAAACTAATTTAAATCTGAATTACCTTATATGAATTTTTTTTATATTAGTATCCTTGACATAATTGTCATTTTTTCTTGTTACAGTTCAATATTTAAAATCTGGGATGCGCTAATATTAAGGACTTTAATCAACAAAAATATAATGAGTTACTATTACAATAAAAATAATAATTAAGTCTATGAATTAATTATTAGCAAAAAATATAATCTAATAATTTTTCAAATATATTAAAAGTACGAATGTCCGTAGTGAAATGTAGTTCGTTTTTTTTAATTTTTAAAAATAAGTTTCACATTTGACAAATATGTAATTTAAGTTACTTTCCTAATAGTTAGGACTTTAAAATCAATTAAAATTTTAAATGTTACCTAATATTTAGAAGTTCAAAATCAACTAAATAAGGATAAAATTATATTAAGAAAAAGAAGAGAATATAAAAAAGTAAAGTTTCGTTTCAACCAAGGACAAAAAATATTGTATAATTTTCATGTAAATATTTTGTGCCTATATCGTATGAGGAAAATTTTAGCGTGCAAGATCAATTGTGATCCTTTATTTTCCTTTTCATACGAAAATATTTTCTTGGTTGTTTAAATTATATTTTAATAAATTGTTTCACAACTATAATTATTTTATGTGTTAATTTCCTAATATTTACTTATTTAAGATTTTAAAAGCAGTCTTATTTATCGAATATATATTATTTGAATCATGTCAGAAGTCTTAATGTATAAAATTTAAAATCAATTAAAATTTTAACCACCTTTTACAAATGATTTCCTTAAGAAAATATTTAAATTATTTTGATATAAATTGTTATTTTTCAGTAACTTTTTTTCTTACATATAAATATATTTATTGATTGAAGCAACATACACGTGCAACGCACGTACACTATATATATNTATATATATATATATATAAACCTAAAAGAATGTAGATGTTTTAGGAGAAAATAAAACCAACGGAAATGAAAGAGGCCTATGAGATTGCCTATAATGTTATTTACATCACCTGAAATAGGAATATAGAGGCCTATGAGTTGAGATAATAAATATCAAATCTAGAACAGGGGTATATCAATGATATGGGACTGTGTTCAAAAATAATAAATATCAAATATATGCTCAATGATTGTCAATGAGTGCAGTAATAGCAGCATGCAATAAGTGTAGATGATGACAATAAATGTAATAAAAAGAAAACCCAAATGTTAGGTGACTTGTATGATTCTCCTTCCTGACAACAACATGGGGTGATAGAAAAGGGAGATGGATAAGGAATCTTTGGATCTTGTGAATGAACAACGTATATTGAACAATGTAATCAGTAAAAAAGACAAGCTTTAGTATGTTTTTTATAGCCAACCCTTTACAATGTGCTCTTATCGAAAAGTGAAGATCCCCCTTTTGTTCTTTATCTCTTCCTATTTATAGGGGGTATTCCTAGAAAACCCTAAAGGTACAACTGAAAGAATATTCGATGGAATATTCTTTCCTTCTATTCTAAACTTATCCTACCGTTATTTCCTTACATCCTTTGTTCGACCTCGGCGCTAATCCTTCTTTAGACGACTCCTCGCCATATGGTCGACTTAATCCCCGACTACGTCCATTTGCGGTTATTAAGTCTAGTCCAAATTTTGACCAATACAGTTAGTCCCTCTGCTTTTTGAGGTTGTGATCTTGGACGTCCTCGATGAGCGGATCCTGCTTGCAACCGTTCGGAGGAAATTTGGTCGTGATGATTGAATCGAATCGGCCGAGGTCGAAATGGTGGCGAGGCTGCAGTTGGTGTGGCTATCGTAGGATGACGTCATGCCACGCGCGCCATCATTACGCGTCTTCCCAATGCAGTGTCTGTGCTTCTATTGCTTTGATTTTGGTGCCATTGACGGCTCTTTGCCTTGGTTCTGGTGTTACCCAACCCTAAAAATAGATGAGAGGAGTTTCATTTTCAAAGCTTTCATCATTTCTTTGTTTGCATGCATATTGTTCTTCTTTGACCTTCTCCCCCGATCACTATTTTTGATTTCTCACAGCTTCTTCAATTCCGGTTCCCAATTCTTTTTCGGCTAACATTTTCTCTCTAATTT